GGACTCACTTTCTTCCAGGCAACCACTGATCTGCCCTCACCTCCCAAAAGGAGTCCGGATTTTAGAGCCAGAAGAACTCAGGTTCAGATCTCAGTGCCTCTGCTTTTGGTTGTGGGACTCTAAGCCTTTTGGGTCTCAGGTTCCTACTCTCTGAACTGGCAGAAATTTGTGGCAAAAGCGGGGATGGTAGGGCTGGAAGGAAGGCACGGTGGTTAGGAGTGCACGCTGCTCTTGCAGAGGACTTGAGTTTGGTTCCCACCATACACAGCAGACAACTCACAACCACCTGTAACACAATTCTGGTTCCAGGGAGATCCGATGCCTCGGGCCCACAAGAGCATCTGCATTTGCACATAATCGCATATACGTAAGCTTTCCAAAGCACTCATTAAAAATGTATAATACTGCTTATCAAGTGCCCACCATACACCAGGATATTTCACGTATTACATCACTGAACCTTCAGATCTATTCTGTGGGCCGGAGAGGTGCCTCAGTCTGTGAAGCACTCAGCATGCAAGCATGAGGAACTGATTTCAGTGTCCAGTACACACAAAAGCATCCAGGTGTGGCAGGAGACACCTGTAACCCAAGCACCTGTAATCCAAAGCAGAGACCAGAGGACCCCTAGAACTTTGCTGGCCAGCCAATTTAGGAGATTGGGTGAACTCCATTTCTCTGAGAGACCTTGTTCTAAGAAATAAAACAGAGCCGGGCAGTGGTGGCACATGCCTTTAATTTCAGCACTCAAGAGGCAGAGGCAAGCAGATCTCTTGAGTTCAAGGCCAGCCTGGTCTACAGAGCAAGTTCCAGGACAGCCAGAGAAACCCAGTTTTTAAATGACAGAGAGAGAGAGAGAAAGAAAGAGAGAGAGAGAGAGAGAGAGAGAGAGAGAGAGAGAGAGAGAGAGAAATTGAGGAAGACATGCAGCATCAACCTTTGACCTCCAAGCACACTCACATTTACATGCCCATCTGCACAGACTCCAAGATTGGTGCTATTAACTGCCCCACCTTCTAGAGAAGGAGACCAAGGCTCCGGTTAAGTGGCAAGCTGCAGAGCTGGGGTACTTCCCTGTACCCTGGCTATCATCCACTGTGTTGTCAGCTACTGTGTGCTTCTGGCAGGTGTGGATGGATACCCACAACTGGGTGGCTTGCTATCCCTTCAGTAACAACCAAAAGTGTCAAGCTCAGCCCCCAACCCTGCCTTTTGGACCTGTGATAAGCTTTCCCTGGCCACCTCCCCAAGTCCTTACTCCCTCCCCAGGGCCCAGCTGGGGTCTGGCATCCTGTGGGTATGTGCAGGACTCACAGCAAGGGCGGTTGTTCCTGGCAGCCTGTGTTGTCTGGTGTGTTTGCTTTTGCCCCCTCCACGTGGCCACTCACCAGGCCCAGGAAAGCCGAGTTCCGCTGGGTCATGTAGTGGTTCCCAGGAAGGACTTTTCTGGGATAGCCCTTCTTTCTTAAGCAGCTGTCCTCTCTCTCCCTCAGGGAACATACCAAACCAGACTCTGCCCCCTAATGCAGTTAAAACTACTTTTCCTTTTTGGCTTGGATCATTACCCCACCCCCTCACTATGATTTTTGTGAGCAGGTTTGCAGGCTTGTGAGCAGCTCTGCTCACCATTATCTCCAAGGCGCCACATGACACCCAAATGTCAAATGAGCAAAGGAAATGGAGGCTTGTCTAGGCCCCATGTCCTAAGGAAGCTGAGAAGCGGCAGGAAGCCCCACCTCCCTTCCCCACCCCCAGCAGTGATTACAGCAGAAACAGATCTGCTCTCAAGCAGAGGGCTTCCTGGACAACTAAACAGCAGAAACCAAGTCAGAACAGCCTGCCCAGCCCAGACCCACCCCTCACTCACTGTCAAGGTTGCAGCCAGTTCCTTCTTCAGAAGCAACGCCAGAGGCAATGGCTGCCTTCATTAAAGTCTTTCGTTCCAAGCCTAGTTGCTTTCAGCAGCTTGCCGGGGCCCTTGGAAATAGCCTTTCTGTTTCCGTTTCACACCCGAGGGGGCTGAATCTAAGAAAGGTCTCTATCTACAGAATTCTCTAGCAGGCATCCAGTGAGTGGAGCTGAAACTGAGCTGCCACACGGTCAGCATTGGCATAGCTTAACCCCAAATGTCTGTGCTCTGGGACATGACATCTAAGGTGATGATGGTCTGGACAAGGTGCTATCCGGTAGGATACCTGTACTCATGCATGCAGAGTTCTCCGATTCCTGAAGACAACCTCCACCCTCACTGCCCCATAGGGTATCTCTCACTGATTAAGATGAAAATATTTACAGAATACCTACACTACACTAGACACTTTAGCAAAAAACAAACAAAACCCACTCCCAGAGCCCATACTTAGGGGAAAGGTTCAGTCAGGCATTACGCTGGCCTGCCCTGTTACCTGGCAGGATGCACTCAGGCAACAACACTCTGGCCAGCCCAGAGTTCTGTGAGAACCATGCAGGTGCAAAGGACCCCTTTAAAGGACTGATCCCTGCCCACTCACACTCTCTTTTACTCTCTCCATCTCCCCTCCTCTCTCTCTCTCTCTCTCTCTCTCTCTCTCTCTCTCTCTCTCTCTCTCTCTCTCTCTCTCTCTCGTCTCGCTCTCGCTCTCGCTCTGCACAGGTTGGTTACCTCTCACCCCCTTTCCCTCCCTGTCTACCAATAAAACGACACATGGGATCATTGAGTCACGGATTATGTCTTATTACTGGGTAAACCTAGACATTTTAACAACATAGAGAACTCATACAAGTAGGAACTAGGCACGTCCCGTTACAAATAGCCATAATATGCCGGGCGCGTTGGTGGCGCACACCTTCAATCCCAGCACTCAGAAGGCAGAGGCAGGCAGATCTCTATGAGTTCGAGGCCAGCCTGGTCTACAGATCGAGTTCCAGGACAGCCTCCAAAACAATACAGAGAAACCCTGTCTCCAAAAACCAAACAAAGAAAAAAAAACCCACCAAAACAAAACAAACAGCCATATGTGAAGGAAAACGAGAGCAGACACTGAGCAAGAACATCAGAAACAGACCTTAGAGAGGGGTAAAATGGCCAGAGATAACATTTATACATTCATGCAACAGGCTAATCAGCCGGGTGGTTAGTCTAGACCAGAGAAGCAGTCAGGACCTCCTGCTGGGGCGGCAGAGAAATGGGCCTTTCCCGCGGTTTCCTCTTCGTGGAGGGGGTGGGGATGGGAATGCTGCAGCCCACGGCCATTTTGCCATTTGCTGAAGTAAAGAGCTCCTGAGATTAGAGATCCCTGTGGCTTCAGAGTAAAGGGCGACAGAAAGCAAACTTGACTTCTGGGGGCGCGCGGGGGCTAGGGGTGCTCTGGGATAAAACAGGAAGGGCCGGGTCCTCCACGCCCTGATGGGTTTGAGCAGCTGACTCCTTCCTTGTCTCCCCCCCCGCCCAGAATGTGGTGCTTTGTCGCCACCTGGTGGTTGAAGTGGACACTACATAGGGCGGCGGGACCCCACCGCTTGGGGTAGGAGGTTCCGCTCTCTTTGCGCAGAGGCTAATGAACCCGCAGGAGGTTTGGGTGACTTCCCGGCAGGGGGCAGAGGTGGGGAGAGGGAGCGAGGGTGGTGCATGGGGAACCGCTGCTTGAAAGTCAACTGACTGGGGACCGACAATGGCTTCATTGTGTCCGGGGCCTTGACCTTGATTTTCTGCCACTCTCTCCCCGGAGTATGGCATCACCAGGGTCTGATTGGCTAGGATTGGCTGCAGGATTCCTCTTGGCGACAGTGGGCGGGCTACGGGGTTGGCCACTCGTCCTTGGACTCCCCAAAGGCCGAGAGAGGCGGCGCTGGCCCTGCTCCCCAGGAAACCCAGGGGGTGGGGCAGCTTGTGGCCGGTGGCTCTTGGGAGTCAGCTGTCGGTCCTTCACCAGCAGGAGGCAGACTCTGTGGATCCTGGAAGGATCCTGAGTACTAAGGCCTGGGATCTACAGTCTGAGCCACCAGGCTCCATCCATCTTAGTTCTAGGATCCTTGTGCACAGGCGTTAGCACCACCCAGTTTTGTTTTGTTTTGTCTTGTTTTAAATTGCTTACACATAGTTACACATTTCCAATGTAGAAGGTATTACACAATGTAATAAAAACTAAAGCTACTGTTTTTGAGTTAGCAGCTCTGCTTAGCTAACTATTATTCCTTTATTGTATACCCTTCCTGATCCCATTCAATGTGCATATAAGAATGCATGTATCATTGGGGCAGGTCCTAGAAGCCCAACTCCTTCCTCCCGAAGCTAGGGCAGGAGGGGAAAAAGTTCAAGACCAACCAGGGCATTTTTCCCTGTCTCAAATTTTCTTTTCCTTTCCTCCTCTTTCTTTTTCCTTCCTTCCTTCTTCCTAAAAAAGAGGGCCGCGGATATAGCGGATGAAAAAGAGCTTACTTAGCATGTGCTGAGCTCCTAAATTCAATGTCTAGCACCATAAAAAAAAATGGAAGGAAGGAAAGAAAGGAAAACATGATGTTGGATTGGAATTGTAGCTTAGCAGTGTAAAACTTGCCTGGTATGTGCAAGGCCCTGGGTTCAGTCCTCAGGAACACACATGCATAGACACAACAGTGTAATTTTTGTGTTCTAACTCTGAAGATGAGAATCAAAATAACAAAGCAGAGAGGTTATCTGGGATAATTAGCACATAGTGTCTTAATTTTGTTCTTGTCACCTTTATTGTCATTGGACCCCAGCAGCTCTTTCTTACACACACACACACACACACACACACACACACAGCCTGTTCCTCCCTTTCTCCATCTCCCTTCTAATGAGCCAGACTGATAAAAATCTGTGTCCCCATTGGGGAGGGCCTAGGCCCTGCCCCAGATGAAGTGACAAACTCTGGAGATCCCCCATGGAGGGCCTCACCCTCCCTGGGGAATGGTGTGAGGATTGGGTGGAGGGGGGGATGGTAGAGGGGCAAGGGAGGAAGGTTGGGAGAGGGAGCTGGGATCAACATGTGAGGCAAGCATGTTTCTAATTTAAATTAAAAATATATTGAAAAAATCTGTGTCCCTAGTACCTATGTTTTTTTTTTTTTTGAAAAGCTAGAAAGAGCAGCTGGTGTTTTTGCAGCATGTTCTCTCCTTCCCTCCCGTATCTGACCTAGATGGAACTATTCACTCATTATAGAAAAGGCATTCCTATTCTGTGGCAGAAGAAATGTTGATGGCCCACACGATACCGTGGGCCCCCACGGTGACTCTACCTACAAAGATGTCCCTGAATGCTGAAGAGGAGGCCAAGGGCTCTGCAGAGCAGGTAAAGGGAGGGTTGCTGCCTGTCAGAGCTCCCAGGGAAGGCATATTCTTTCTCCTCTGTGGTACTTTAGGACTTTACCTGTCCAACAGGCTACTACCTGTACAGTAGCTACCCCACTCCAGGATATGTGGGGTTAACAGATAACATAGTGCCTAAAGGGACCTGGCACTGAGAAAGTCCCTAAAAAACAGTGAGTGTTGTTGTATTGTAAAGCAATGCAATGTGTTTTTTCCATACTTTGAGTATCCAAATGGAATTGCTATCATCTTTGTTCTCTTTAAAATCGGCCAGTCTTGCTTGCTGGGATGGCACATACCTATAGTACAGCACTTGGGAGGCTGAGGTTGGGGGACTAAGAGGCCAATTGGGCTAATTAGTAAGAACCCTATCTCAAAAACAACACACACCCACATTCTCTCTCTTAAACGCACACTCTCGCACACTCACACCACTTGTCTCTGCAGAATGTAGGAGAAAATTTGGCTTTGACTTGCAATTCACTGAAGAAAGGGAAACTTGACTTGGGGTTCCTGTTAGAACATCTGGTTGTCACCTGTTGAAGCTGCTGCTGGTCCCCTAAATGCCCTTCAGCCAGAGAACACAGGACACTGAAGAATGCTATTCCAGAGGATGGGAAATATGTGAAACCCCACAGGTATGAGACAGGGTCAAATCACAGGTTCAGCAAGCACCCTTTGAGCCCCTGCTGTGGGTGGAGGTGGCCTCCACAGTGACTCACAGCCAAAGGGTCCCTAAAACACAGCAATTCCATTTGAGAAAAAAAACTACTTGCTGTGAATATTGACTAATTTTTTTCTGAGCTTACTAGGTGCCCACTGTTCTAAAAGACATCAAACAAGATGGTGAGATTCTTACCTTCAAGCAACTTGTCTTTCAGTGATTTTTCTACACATGGTATGTTCCCTACTTTATCATTTTTCTCTGCTTTTTTTTTAAAGGCACACCTTACATGCAATTGCCTTTCTAGTTTATAGTCCTATGAGTGTTGACAAATGCAGCTGTGTGGCCACCACCATGACTTCCATCACCTACACAGTCTTCCTCTGTTTTGGAATTAATTTAGCCTTCAGCCCTAATCACTGACGGCCACTTCTCCCATTCTCTTCTTGTAGCTTCTCCTTTTATCTGAATGCAATCTTACAGTGGGTAACCTTTATAAAACAGTATGTGGGGGGGGCAGAGAGACAGAATGTGTGTCGTGGCGTGTCTGTAGAGATCAGGGGACAACTCTTTCTTTCTTTCTTTCTTTCTTTCTTTCTTTCTTTCTTTTTTTGAGAACCAGTTTGCCCCTTCCACAGTGGGTTCCAGGTCTCAAACTCAGGTCATCAGGCTTGTGTGGCAAGTGATCTTAGCCTCTGGGCCTCCATAGCCCCAGTGCAAAACCTTCTGTATAGTTGTTTTGTTTTTTCTGTGCTGAGGGTTGAATCCTGGCCCTGGGGCCTGCTAGGCAATTGTTCTCTGTCCGTGTCGTTGTGTTTCCCAACACTCTGACTTGCCACAGTGCTTTGGGCTTAATGTGCATATCATCAGTTCATTTTTCCCCTTTAACTTTTTACTATGAGCATTTCCCAATATATAGGTAAGAGACTAATACAATGAACCTGTATGCCTACCACCTAGATTCAGTAATTGACGGCATTTTGTCATATTTTTAAATGACATCTCTATATATACATGTGCATTTACTGAACCATTTGCAAGTAATTTATAAAGGCTGGAGAGGTGGCTGCATATCCAGGAGAGCTTGCTGCTGTTGCAGAGGACCCGGGTTCAGTTCCCAGCACCCGCATCAGAGAGCTGATGACTGTCCCAGTCCCAGAGAATTGACACCCTCTTCTGGCCTCCTGGGGCACCTGCAGGTACATGGGCACACACATACACAGAAATAAAAGAAAACATAAATCTTTAAAAGTCTCATTGTTGTTTTACTCACCTGGTAAGGTTTTCTTTTTCCCTCCCTCCCTCCTCCTCCTCCCCTTCCTTCCTTCCTTCCTTCCTCCCTCCCTCCCTCCCTCCCTCCCTCCCTCTCTCTCTCTTCCTTTCTTTCTTTTTCCAGACAGGGTTTCTCTATCCCAGGCTGTCCTGAAACTCCTTACTCTGTGGTCCAGGTTGGCTCGGAACTCAAGAGATCCACCTGCCCCTGATTAAAGGTGCCACGTTTCATTTTTAAACTTTTGAAACCCTAAAGCTTTCTGATGTGGGTGCCAGGAACTGAACCCAGGTCCTCTGCAATAGCAGCAAGCACTCTTAACCACTGAGCCATCTCTCCCCTTATAAATTACTTTTAAATGGTTCAGTAAATGTATTTGTATGTAATTTTGAAATAATTATTCGAAGTGGAAGTTGCAAAACCAGCAGGCTCCTAACCTTCCCCAAGCTTCGCCCAATAGTGATATTATAGTATATAGCTGTAATATATAAGAGCAAACAGAAAATTAACATTAGTACATTATTTCTAATTGGGCCTAATCATCTATGTTCGTGTGTGTGTGTCTGTGTGTGTGTGTGTGTGTGTGTGTGTGAATTTCACATCACTTGAGGAAATAAGTAGGCATAAGATTAATATATTACATGGGTAGTAGATATTTGTCTTTGTGAGAAATGACTACACTCTTGCAAACTATACTATTTGCATCCTTACCAGCAGTGTATAAATTACAGTTACACTGGGCAGGGCATTTCTTGTTTGTTTTGTTATTGATACAGAGTCTTCCTGTGTATCTCAGACTAGCCTGAAACTCATATATAGCCCAAGCAGATCCCAAACTGCCAATTCTCACACCTCGGTGTATGGCATGCTGGGTTACAATCATCTATCACCACATCTGGCTTAATAATAATTACTGGACTTTTCCTTTTTTTTCCTCCCTCTCTCCCTTAGGAGCTTGGCTTTCTAACAAGGATCTCCAGTGTTTACGAAGGTACGTGGCACACAAAAAGCATTAGTGGTTTTAGTCTAGGAAACCTCTTGTGACTGTCCTCTCATTCCGTGCCTCATTTTTCTCTGCTGTCACTGTGGTAGAGCGCCTTGGCCTGGCTGCCCCATTTAGGGCTTTTGTCCTTTCTCACGCCCCCTCTGGATTCCTGCCATGCAGCCTGGAAGACCGGCCATAGACACTGGAAGCTGTAGAAACACAATACTTCTTCTGATGCTCACTGGACACTGGGAGGTACACTCTATACTGCTCTGTGCTGGGTCCCACGACGGAGATCATTTCACTCTCCATGACTCTAGCCACTGTACCTTAAAGGCATCAAGCAAGCCCTTTCCTTGATTTCTCTGCCTGCAAGAAAGTGGCAGAGATAGAGTGTAGAGAGAAGACTTTTCCTTGCCAGCCGCTTTGGTTTTTCCCCCACCAGTTGCCTGGGCTCTGCAGCGTTGTAGTCCCCAAATAACACACAAGACGCTGTATTAATTATGAAGCTGTTGGCCTTGCTTGTTTCTTACTGGCTAGCTCTGGCTTAAGTATTTTTCCCATAATTGTTAATCTTAGTATTTCTCTTACCGGAGAAAAGTTCCGGACATCTTACTTCTCTGGCGGGCTACATCTTGACTCTCTGTGTTTCTCCTACCCAAAGTCCTCCTCGACACCTAGTCCCACCTATCTTGCTTTCCTATTGGCCAACAGTGCTTTATTGACATGTACACAGGCCCCAGTTAGACTAGAACAAATATATGGAACTTACAGACCAGTAGGAGAGAGCAATAATAATTCAAAGATGCAAAATTTAAATAATTATAGGTGAAGTGGTACCTTCAAAAAATAGCATTTTTGCCGGGCGTTGGTGGCGCACGCTTTTAATCCCAGCACTCGGGAGGCAGAGGCAGGCGGATCTCTGTGAGTTCGAGGCCAGCCTGGTCTATAGAGCTAGTTCCAGGACAGGTTCCAAAACAATACAGAGAAACCCTGTCTCGAAAAACCAAAAAAAAAAAAAAAATAGCATTTTTGAGGGGAACTGGAGAGATGGCTGCTCTTCCAAGAGGTCCTGAGTTCAATTCCCAGCTACCACATGGTGGCTCACAACCATCTGTAATGAGATCTGGTGCCCTCTGCTGGCCTGCAGGCAGAAGACTGTATACACAATAAATAAATGAAATATTTAAAAAATCCATTTTTAATTTAGTCTCTGAAAAATTTATACACGTATACAATATATCTTGATTGTATCTATCCCTTATTTCCCACCTCCTCCCCATAGGCCTTCTCAGGAATTTACTTTTTTGTTTTATTTTGTTGTTGTTGCTTTTTGTTTTGTTGTTTTTTTGAGTTGAGAGTCTTGCTGTGTAGTCCTAGCTGACCTACCACTTGGTCTTGAACTCACAGAGATCCACCTGCCTCTGTCTCCCAAGTGCTGGGATTGAAGGTGTGACTCACCAGGTACTGACTTTTTAACAAATAGTTGTGGAATCATTGACTCTCTGGCCCCACAAGATAGTTCAGTGGGTAAAGAGCTTGCTGTACAAACCTGAAGGTCTGAGTCTGATCCCCAAAATTCATGTAAAGGCAGAAGGTAAGAATTGATGCCACAGAGTTGCCCTCTGACCTCCACAGGAGTACCTCGGCAAGAGTTCCTACAGATGCACACACGCACAGGCATATCACATACCACACGCACACACATCATACACATAGAAGACATTATATATACAGACATCAAACACACACATCACACATGGACCCAACAGTTTGGTTTTTTCGAAGGAGTACTGTGGGCCCTAGCTTAGTAGCTGCTGCATGGCATGTATGAGGCCTTGTGTTTGATCCTGAGCATAGAGAGGCCACACACTAGAAACAGCTTTGCACTACCTATTTGTACATATTTATGTGTGTGCAGACCAGTGCCTGTACAAGTGTGAATGTGCACAGAGGCCAAAAGAAAATTCTGCCTTATTCCTTTGAGAGAGGATTTCTCTTTTTTTTTTTTTTTTGTTTGTTTGTTTGTTTTTCGAGACAGGGTTTCTCTGTGGCTTTGGAGGCTGTCCTGGAACTCACTTTGTAGACCAGGCTGGCCTCGAACTCACAGAGATCCGCCTGCCTCTGCCTCCCGAGTGCTGGGATTAAAGGCGTGCGCCACCAACGCCCGGCCGGATTTCTCATTTTTAAAACTTTTCTATCTATTCTTTTTTTTTTTTTTTTTTTGAAACATGGTCTTGCTATGTAGATAAGGCTGGCCTTGAACTAACAGAGATCCTCTGAGGCAGCCTGGATCTCCTGTGGTTTGTTGTTTATTTTGTTTTGTTTTGTTTTTGTTTTTGTTTTCTGTTTTTGGCTAGTCCAGCAGCCAGCAAGCCCCATCAATCCTCTGGCCTCTGCCCCTTGCAATGCTGGAATTAAAGGCATGTGAGAGACAGTTTTTCTTTAACTAATTTTTTTTATTTAAATTAAAACCAGTCGTATTTTACATACCAATCCCAGTTCTCTCTCCCTCCGGGCCTCTCATTCCCCCACCATCTCTCCATCCCCCCACACCCACTCCTCAGAGAGGGTGAGGCTTCCCATGGGGGAATCCCTCCCTGCTGTATCTAGGCTGAGAGAGTATTCCTCCATAGGGAATGGGTTCCAAAAAGCCAGTTCATGCACTAGGGATAAATACTGGTTCCAATGCCAGAGGCACCATAGATTGGCATTTGAGGTAGTCATCAATCTCATTATAGCGGAAGGGCACTTAAGGTAGCCTCTCCACCATTGCTTAGATTCTTAGTTGGGGTCATCCCTGTGAATTCCTGGAGATTTCCCTAGTGCCAGGTTTCTTGTTAAGCTACAATGGCTCCCTCTATTAAGGTATCTCTTTCCTTGCTCTCCTCTGTCCTTCCTCCAACTTGACCTTCCTGATCCCTCATGTTGTCCCCTCTCTCTCCTTCTCTCCTCCTCTCCCTCCTACTTCTCTCTCCCCTTCCCACATGCTCCCAATTTACTCAGGAGATCTTGTCCCTTTCCCCTTCTCTGGGGAACCATGTACGTCTCTCTTAGGGCCCTCCTTGTTTTCTAGCTTCTCTGGGGTTGTGGATTGTAGGCTGGCAATCCATTGCTCTATGTCTAATATCCACTTGTGAGAGAGTACATGCCATGTTTGTCTTTCTGTGTCTGGGTTATCTCACTCAGAATGGTTTGCTTTCTTCTAGTTCCATCCATTTGCCTGTGAATTTCAAGATGGACCAGACAGTTTTTTTATGTGGGTGCTGGGATGGGAACTCAGTCCTCATGTTAATCAGTGAGCACACTTAACCGCTGAATCATCTCTTCATCCCTAAACATATATTTTTCACAAAAAATTTTTTAAAAAGATTTATTTATTTATTACATATACACCAGATTGAATTGTAGATGGTTGTCAGCCACCATGTGGTTGCTGGGAATTGAACTCAAGACCTCCTCTGAGCCATCTCTCCGGCCCCCACAAAAGATTTTTATTTAGTAAGAAACCTTACAACTCAGAGTACTAAGACAGCCGAATTAAAATATGAATGAAGTTTAGCAAGTGCCTCGAGCTATCTAATAAACACATGCATAGTTTCTCAACATCCTTGGCCATTAGAGATTTGTACATTAAAATCCCAATGAGATAATGATGTATTACCATGCATCAATTAGAATGAGTAAGCTATTTATTTATTTTTAATGTTATTTTTTGGTTTTTTGAGACAGAGTTTCTCTGTGCAGCTTTGGAGCCTGTCCTGGAACTAGCTCTGTAGACCAGGCTGTCCTCAAACTCACAGAGCCTGCCTCTGCCTCCCAAATGCTGAGATTAAAGGCATATGCCACTGCACCCGGCTAGAATAGTTAAATTTTGAAAGACTGGAAATGCCAAATCTTTTGAATGCACACGCCTCTAATCCCAGTAGTCAGGAGGCAGAGGCAGGTGGATCTCTGTGAGTTTGAGGCCAGCCTGGTCTTCAAAGAGAGTTGCAGGACAGTCTTCAAACTTACAGAGAAACCCTATCTGGAAAAACCAAAACAAACAAATAAACAACAACAACAAAAAACAAACAGAAAATACCTGACCAGACAAAGACAGGGATTGTCATAGCAGCTTTTTGCCCATAAAATCCGAAACTGGAAATGGCCTAAGTATCCATCAATGACTGAATAAATTACAGTAGATTCCTACAATGGTTTATCATTCAGTAATAAAAAGAAACAGACTGAGGAATGCTACATCATGAATGTACTGATTAGTTTTTGTTACATTGACACAAACTAGAGTTATCTGTGAAGAGGGAACCTCAGCTGAGAAATTGCCCCTGTCAGACTGACTTGTGGGCATGTCTGTAGGGTGTTTTTTTTTTCTCAATTAATGATTGATGTGGGAGGGCACAGCCCACTGTGGGTGGTGTCATCCCTACATAGGTGGTCCTGGGCTGTATAAAAAAGCAGGCTGAGCAAGCTATGAGGTGCAAGCCAGTAAGCAGCACTCCTCCATGGGCCTCTGCTTCAGTTTCTGTCTCCAGGCTTCTCTTGAGTTCCTGCCCTGACTTCCTTTAATGATGGGCTGTGACATGGAAGTGTAAGCCAAATAAACTCTTCTTCCCCAAGTTAGTATTGGTCAGTGTTTTATTACAGAAACAGAAAGCAAGCAATACAATGATTGACCCTCAGAAAACACGCCAGCTCAAAGAAACCAGACAGAAGAGTGCACGATACATGAATATGTTCCAGTCAGAGTTCTAAAACACAAGCCAAACCAGGGGAGGGTGACAGAAAACAGAACCCATGCTAAAGGAGACCCAATCTTAGCAAAGCAAACAACAACAACAACAATAATAATAATGAATGAATGAACAGCAGTACCATGTAATAAGTCCTGGTAGGAAGGAAATGTGGTATCGCAAGAGAGAGTGATGAAGAAAGGGCCATTTTGATTGGCTGGCAGGGGAGAATTCTCAAAGGGGTGGTGTCTGTCTGAGCAGTGGGTGTCTAGAGGGAACCACCCATGTGAAAACATTCCTGGAATAGAGCATTAAGAAACAAAGGCCTAGGATCAGGAAGGAGTTTGGTGAGTCTGGGCACAGCCTGGGGCCCTGGTGAGTGGCCAGGTCAGGATGGGTGGGGAGGGAACAGAAACCAGATCCTGCAGGGACTTCCCACCCTGATAAAGACTCAAGAATGTGAGTCCATAAATCCCTCACAGTCTAGTGAGCAGAAACACATGGGCACATAGAAGAGTTATGCATGACATCAGAGAGTAGCCAGTGCTACCTGGGGACATCTGGGAAGCCTTCACAGGGGTGACATTTTACCTGAGGACAGGAGGGTGGCCGAGGGGATGGGCCAGCCCAGTGGAGAGTATCGTGTCTAAGATGTCTACAGGTACGAAGCCACCTGGGAATTCACAGACCTCCCTTGTTGTGTTATTGAAGTGCTTCCTGTGGGAGATGGGAGGCTCTGAACTTCTCTCAGCCTAGGTCCTGCA